CTGCCATGGCAAAATGCTGTCCGAGACATGTCCGTGGCCCAACACCAAAGGGCATGTAAACATGAGGATGCTTGCAGGCGCCGCTGACCCCATTGGCAAACCTCTCAGGATTGAACTTGTCAGCATCAGATCCCCATATTTCAGGGTCTTGGTGTAGGGTTACAATCAAGGTCCAAACGTTGACACCCTTGGGCACAAAAATGTCTCCAAATTTCAGGTCCTGTAATGCCTCCCTGGATATCACACAAACTGGAGGGTAGAGGCGCAGAGATTCATGAATCACCATCGTCAACTGCAATCAATCAAGTTACTTACTAGTCAATTGGATGATGTTGTAACAGTTAAAGAAACCAGAGAGCAGACTCAATCGGGGGGGCTAGCATAGAAGATAGCACTCACTGATTTCATCTTGCGAACCATGTCAGCATCAGGCATTTGCCCCCCACAGACCTCAAGCACCTCGGCTCGAACTCTATCTTGCCATTCAGGATTTGATCCCAAAAGCATCATTGTCCATGTTGCAGTGACTGAAGTTGTTTCATAGCCAGCCAAGTATATGTTCTTGCAATTGTCAACAACGAAACGGTCCATTTCAGCCTGGCTGGTCTCACTATCCTTGGCTCCTTTCAGGATTATTTCTAACAGGTCCTTCGATGTTTGTTCCTTTTCTTCCCTCACTTCCTTCAAAATTAAGGCACGCACTTCTTTCTCTAATCTCCAAACTTCTCTGTTGCTCTTAGTTGGCAGAGCCCTGAAAAATCACAAAGTTAACCCCCTTGTTCTTAAGTACTAAACTTTTTGATAAATTTGAATATAAAAAACTTAAGCTGTAAAGTTGTATACCTCAAAATGGGAATCCCAGATGACAAAGCTTTCTTTGACATAGCTCCTTGAAGAGCTCTAAGCTTGAGGAATATCTCTTCTCCTTTGGCATAATTGCTCCCAAAACATGCTTTTGAAATCACATCTCCAGAGAAGCTTCTCATGTCTTCATCGACGTTGATGTCCACAACTCCTCCCTCACTTTCAATCCTTTTAGTCCACGAATCAACTACTATATTCGAGGATTCGACCATGATGCTCATGAAATTCTACAAAAGTTGGACCATTGTTAAAATAGCAAGAAATTGTAGATGTGCACGCGTGCGCATGTGTGAGCGGGCGCTCATGGACGCCAATGATTGAAGCACATTGTACCTTGACATTCTCCATGTAAAATTCAGGAGCTAGGATCTTTCTTTGATGTGCCCATATTGCACCATTTGAGGTCAGAATACCTTGGCCAAGCAGAGGACCGCGCTCTTTTACCTGGTAAGAAGGCTTCCCCAAGTCTAAGGAAGTGCAGATGCTGATTTCCTTCACCGCATCAGGATGGTTCATATGCAATATCTGTATGTTCCCAAGCGAGAACATGAATGTTGAACCTGAAAAATGAAAGTAATTAGACTCTCTTCAATTGAAATGATATGATTTCAACATAATTAAACATGGTATGTTGGAGTTGAAAATGAGAGATCTAAGAATTGATCTATACCATATTTCTTGCTCCATTGCTCGAAGAATGAGAAAGGAGTGTTGGAAGAACTATGACTTATCACTTGTTCTCCTTCCCGTGATGCTTTTGAGACCTTAGATTGTGCCTTCTTAATGTCCCGTATGTTTCCAAGCAAAAATGTAGTCGGTGGACCTCGGATACCTTGCTTTCGTAGCTTCGAACGAAGCCTTTCTGGCTTGAATATTAGAGCATCACACATCCGTATGGCAATGCTGACAAGGCCGATAAGAGCAACGGCAACTGTGACCTTGGGCGGCAGCAGCAGCAGCAGCTCCATGTTTTGTTCCCCTCTGTCTTCCTAACTGCAACCGTGCAAGTACTTTTCTCCCTGATGCAAGCTTACTTATACATTTAGTTGCCTTGGACTTCTCACATATCAAGCTATATATATTCCAGATTAGAATAATCTGAAAGAAGAGTCCTAATTAGCAACGTAGTTATGAAATTCTAGTCTTTTTTGGATTATGAATTTTAACTTGAGCTGTATATACCTCAGAGGGGCACAAGGGAGAATATTGCCAATAAGACAACAGTAGGAATTCCCAGCATGTAATCAATGTTGTGGCCTTTAGGATTTATGAGGAGGCTACTTGGCTCCTCGGTTGGTTTGTCCTGGACCTCGGGATGATCACCACCTAAAAGCCTATGGCAAATACTAGCGCTATCTTCCAAAAGATCCTCGTGCTGTATCTATTTTTAAAAATTATATGGATTAAAGTATCTTTTTATTTATAAATATATTAAAATAATATTTTTTAGTTTTTTTATAAAATTATTTTTTTATTGGAAAGTATTTTTTTAAAATGAATTTCAGAAAAGTAAATTATTTTATAATATTTGGTAATATAATGAAAAATAAATTAAACAACACTTTCCAGTATTTGATTATGTTATAAAAAATAAACTGAAAAATAACTTATTAATGTTTTATTTTTCTCAAGTTTATTAAAATAATGAGGAAAAAATCTTGAAAATTAAAAAAATTAAATAAAAATGAATTGAAAAAAATATAATTTCATAAATTATCTCACATAAAATAAATTATAATCAAAATAATAGAAATCAAATCTAAAAAATAAAAAAATAAAAGATGAAGAAATTAAAATAATAATAATTAAAATTTCATGAATTATTTCAAATAAAATAAGTCACAATTAAAAGAATAAAGACCAAATTTAATAGATAAAAAATTTCAATAAAAAAATGATAAGAAAAAAGTAAATAAAAATTTTCAAAAAAAAGAGCAAAATTAATATAAAAATTAAATTTTAAGAAATGAAATTAAAAAATAAACATTCAATATTCAATATATATATATAACAACCAAAAGTTTGAGGACCAAATTTGATATAATCAGTAAATAATATAATATTTATAAATTTTTTATAATTTTTAAAAAGTATTTTTCGTCTAAATTTTTTAGAAAAATACTTTCATGTAAAATCAAGCTAAATTTTTTTTGACTGAAAAATATTTTCCGTTAATCAATTTTTTTAATGATAAAAAAATACAGAAAAATTTAAAAAATAATTTTTCAAAAATTACTTTTCAAGAAATAAACACAACTATAAAAATAATTTAAAAAAATTAAAAAAATTAATTTAAAATAAAAAATACAAAACTTTAAAAATACAAATTTAAAATAAAAAATAAAAAACTTTAAAAATACAAAAACATCAATTTTTTGCGGTTAGTAACTTCCAATATTCCAAATATTGGACGTTATGTTTTTGGCATCTGTCTAAAGGTGCCTTGTGCTGTCGGTATGTAATCATGTCCTTTCTGGATTTTTGCCAAGGTGGTATCAACCCTCTTTTTTTTTCTTTTTTTGTGAGAACATGCAATTGCAGAAGCTCCTTGGTGCTGTGAACCTCCATCAATAATGGTAAAGTAAATATTCACAGCGACTTATAAGAGCAGAGGTTAACGATGATATCAGGATGAGGAATGCCCATGCCACATGCATATTGAAGTTTTGCTGGAAGGGATGATGATGCCGCGATGTCTTGTATGCTGAAATGACGAATTTGTACAAAAACCCTTTGATCTTAACGAAAATAGCACCCCAAATAAAAACCCTTTATTAATGGGAGTTCATTCGTACCAATTCTAAACTCATTAATTATCTGATTTGATTGTTTACCGAAAGTAGCACCACCAAAGAAAAACCCTTTATTAATGGGAGTTCATTCTACTAAAAACTTTAATTATTTTAATTTTATTTCGCCTAAAAATAATTTTTTAATAAAAATGTTGTTTAAGAGGCTAAAATAATTATTTTAGTTGTATTTGATGTAGATAGACAATATCTTATTTTAAGATTTTATATTTATATAAATCTAAATTTATACATGAATTTATTATTTAAATAATTTAATTAGAGTTAAACACAACACCAATAACAAAATTAATTTTATAATATATTTAATTATTTTAATATAAAAATTAATATAATTTTATAGTTATGAAGTTCTAACTAGACATAAAAAAATACTAATTACAGCTAATAATAAAATTTTTTTAAAGACCCAATAAAAATAATCTGCTAATAAATTATATAATTGAAAAAGATATACAACATAGTTATTCATTCAAAATGTTAATCTTACATTTTAAATTTATTTTTTCTAATTCTATCTCTTGTCTTTATTTTTATTTATTTTTTATCTATGTTTCCCTTTCATGGTTTTATTTATGAGAATTTAGATCGTTTTATTTTCCTTTTCTATTTCTATTCATTAACTCTTTATTTAATTACTATAAGACTTTTTATTTATTTGTGCATGTTGTCTAAGTTTGTTGTCTTTTCCTGTTAATTTCTTTCCTTTTATTCTCAAAACGTCTAATTCAAGGTTGATTTAGGAGTTTCAATGATGATAGTAATAAAAAAAAAATATTCTAATCCAAAAAGACATCATAATTCATGTAATAAAAATAGAATATATATTACTATTTTAAAGGGTGTCAATTTAAACAAAAATAAAAGAAAAAAAATCCTTATTTAAAAGAATAACAATTCAAGAGCATCATTATGGATTCGTGACCTAAAATACAGGGAGGCTTGCAAAAAAAAAAAATCGAAAACATAGGATTTGTGAGAAGAGAGAAGAAAAGCATTCACTATCTAAACAATAAGTAAAATACCGTGAGCCAACATGGAAGCTGGTTTGCCCGAGAGGTTAAGGGGGAAGACTTAAGATCTTCTGTACATAAGTACGCATGGGTTCGAACCCCATAGCCAGCATTTCTTTCTATTGTTAATTTTCATATCTTTCAATAAAATTTTTGCTTTTGTTTTTTTTTTAATTAGAGGGAAAAAAGGAAGAAAAGAAATATGTGATACATTGTGGATGATTGCTCAAACGATAAGAAAGAGAAAGGGTATGCATAAATTGCCAAAATCTTTTTATTTCAACTATAGATTCCTTGTCCATCTGCAATATTATTATCAATACAAAATTCCACCTTTCTATTTCAAACCATCAGCCCTTACAAAGATGTCTACATTCATGGGAGCACAACGTATATGCTACTATATCTACCAATTTACTCTTTCCTTGTTATTTTGTACCCTGAAAATAACAACAAATCACAAAGGTTTTTGTAAAAAGAAATCGAAAATACAGCATCCCTTATGTTCAACAAGAAAAGAATGACCAGCCTTTACTTCAATAGCCTGCAACAAAGATAATAATAATAAAAAAAAACTGTCCCTGATGGAATCACAATGCTGTTGTTTCTTGGAGAAATGAAAGATTCTTGCTAAGAGTGGGGGACAAAGGTGCCAATGTAACCAAATCCTGCAATGAAGAAGGCAATGGATTGGAGGAAGAGGAATATGTAGTATCTGTTCTTTCCAAAGGCAAAATCATAGCATCCACAGAAGAAGAGATAGGCTCCAGCACAGAATTCTAGCAAATGTAATCTGGTAACATTCAACCATCAAGAAAACAACATCAGACTTCATCTCAGAATCATTAAAAACTGGTTTCCTGATAACCTCATAAGGAATCTTGAATGCTAAGCTTACCTTTCTCCAATCCTAATCCGCGGTTTCTTGGTAGCTTTAGCAGGTAATTTGGCCTTAAGAGCATCTCCTATTTTTTCAGTGACAACCCATTCATTCACTCTTCCTCCCTCCAGAAGACCTATAAATGTCGCCTTAGTCCGGTGCAGAGACATAACATTCTCAAATAGGATCCAGAAAACCATCAGATGGAGTGATCTGCAAGATTATGCAGATTTGAAAGCATTAGAAACTATCAGTTTTACAAAACTGGACTATAAGAAAGTTTGGTTAACCCTAGGATAAGATGGATGGATGGACAGACCTAGGGGTTCCAACAGCATTGAGGAGAGTTACAACTGAAGGAATATAGACAGCTCCCCATTTAGGAACAGTTACTTCAGGAACCAGAACAGTTGCAGGCAAAACAACACAGTAGAATAAAAACGTGACAATATGTGCCACAATCTTGCGGACGAAGAAGAAACTGTAGATCACATAACATTTCTTCCAAACTGACACTTTCTGCAGTAAATAGTATGCTAATTAGTCAAAAATGGAAGACGGACCAACAATTTGATCAGATTTTCTATATTCTTAATTGTCAGGTTAAAGAGGGTGTAATAAAAGAGCATACCTTGTTTTTTACTATTTCTATAGCCATTTTCCTGAAGAGATTTGCTGGCCCACAAGACCATCTATGTTGCTGATATCGATAAGCTTTGAAAGTGCTTGGCAATTCATTTTTCACCTAAAAATAAAAAAGACAACCAAGTTTTAGCTAGGAGCACATGGAATCGATATTAAATTTTTTAGCTTATTATCTTTTATTAACATGTGGCAGAGGATACCGAGTGCAAAGACTATTCAGAAATTCAAAATCTAACAACTAATACGACGTACCAATTACCAAGCCAGCTGGTAAGGCTGGTGGCTAATAAAAATTTGGTGGGATTTTTTTATTTGTATTTCCATTTACGAAAGTCAGGAGGCTGAAAATGATACCTTGAGGTCACCAACATAAACAAACTTCCAGCCTTTGAGGCTAGCCCTGACAGCCAAGTCCATGTCCTCTACCGTCGTTCGATCCTTCCACCCTCCAGCTTCATTGACCGCTGAAATTCTCCACACACCAGCAGTACCTGTACCCAATTTCCATATTTGTATCAATCTGTCTAAGACATTTATGGCAAATTAAGAAAAAAACCAAACCAATTTAGTGCTTTGTTAATATGGGTTTTACCATTGAATCCAAAGAAAGCATAGGTAGCAGACCCCACTTCTTGTTCCACAGTGAAATGGTAATCCAATGACATCTCTTGCATCCTTGTCATTAAGCACTCATCAGAATTGACTACAAAATCGCCCCAGAAAAGGAATGATCAGACCAACGTTCAAATATTTAGTGGACCTCAAGGATTAAATTCATTAATTATGTTTAAAGTTACTGATCAAGATTACCGAATTTCCAGCGAGCTTGAACAAGAGCAATTTCAGGATTGTGAGCTAGAAATGGTATGGTGCGCCAAAGAAAGTCAGGTTCAGGCTGAAAATCAGCATCAAATATGGCTAAAAAAAAACATTGTTTAACATAGCTGTGCTTCATGCCTTCTTTGAGAGCTCCTGCCTTGTATCCATTCCTGTTGTCCCTCATCTCATACTTTATAGTGATGCCTTTGCTTGCCCATCTCTGACATTCTACTTCCACCAAGCTCTGCGCTCGCGGGCGCACGCACTTTTTAAGTATAATTTACTTTGAACACAAACAATCAAACATAAATACTTCAGCAAACTACAAGATGAGTTAGAGGTAGAAATTAACCTTAATGGCAGGGTCTGTTGAGTCATCAAGAACTTGGATTATGATCCGGTCGGACGGCCAAGAAAGCCCACAGGCAGCTCCAATAGACAACTGATAAACCTGAAAGCAATGGAACAGTAGAGATTAGAATACAGTAACACGATAAACAAAAAGCAACAGTAAAACAAAATGACAAGAACATTAGAAAAGGTACCTCTTTTTCATTGTACATTGGAACTTGCACCAGAACCATAGGATAAGCTGAGTTACCAAGCTCAATATCATCCTTTATAGGCTCCCATTTGTACCTCTTATTTGGTTTTTTCCCAAACAACTTCACAAAAACTATAACAACCCCCATGTACACTCTTTCAATGAAAATCATTATTGACATGCCCAAACACACTACCACCAATAATTTCAAGACCGGCACGGTCAACGGTTCCATTATTACTTGCCAAATCAATCCAATTTGGCCGGTAACACCATCCCGACCAGCAGGAAAAATGTTACTAGCAGATGATAAACGATCCATTGGACTAATTAGGACTGGTGCAATAAAGGGTTCAAGGAAGGCTCAAAAGTATGTGACACCAAGTGTCTCTGTGTGTGCTTGGTTATATAGAGGAGTACCCCTTTGCGAAAAGAACAAGAGTGTCTCAATTCCTTTTGCTTTCGAGTTACGTTTATGCAATGTGGAAGAGAGATAACTAGCAAGATGGGCTTGCGCCAGTCACTTGATTGTTGAAGCAGCTGTCACTCCATTGCAGAAGTAGACCCACTAGTCATATATGATCATGCACAAACAGTAGATTGATCTTTCTAAGGAAGCCAAGAAAGACCACAAGAGGATTATAGGGCAATGTGGAAAGAAACAGCAATACAAAAGGCTTCCAAGACCCCCCCACCCCGCCTTTTTTTTCCTTATAGAGAAGAGAATATTCTGATCAAGTCTAGTGTTCCCTTCTCTGCTCTATGGTTAGAGAAGAGAGGCCCTGGTGGTGTTAAAGCTAAATGCGTAGTGCTTAAATATATTATAAGAAATGATAAAACAACAAATAATCAAACGGAAAAGGATTGGTAATCTGATGCCGACAAAGAAATTCAGATTCTAGGTGTATTTGTCTTGCAAAATGTTTTTAATATTAATTGATGAGGCAGCACCTATCTTCATTGACAAACCATCAAGCGCATAATGTCGTCCATTTCTTTAAGTTTGTAACTAACTCAAATGAGTTTAGCTTTCACTTTCATTCCCATGACATTGCTAACTCTAAGGTGAATTTTGAGATTAATTTTAATTTTATGGCCTCGATGAATGTTAATTTTTTTTTCGTTTTTAATATTGGACTGTTTTTTTAATGCATCAAAGGTCAATTTATGTTTTAATATGAAAGACTTTGATAAGATTTTGTTTAATATATCAATATCAATTTAAACAATGTATTAACAAAAAAATCTCATAAGCACTTCTCTTTAATTTTATACTCAACATAACAACACAAAGCAAATTTGTTTAGATTCATTATGTGTTTAGTATTGTGATGCACATTGTTTTTTTAAAAGTGTTTTTTAATGTAAAAAATAATTTAAACAGCAAAAACTATTACAATATTAATATTAAAATGAGCACTCAAATTTGAAATAACATGTAAATCAGATTCGTTTACCTCCCAATAAAACCTATGTAAATATTTATAAAATATATAAAAGAGATAAAATATGTTCAATATGGTACTTTGCACAGTCAGGAAATACTATTTCTTTCCATCCCATGTCACTTTCAAACTCCTTTTGACAAGCATGTCTATGCCAAAGAAAAAGAACTGAAGACTGGATTTGGTTGATGCCAGTTCAAGTTTTGGGCACCCCGTGTTTTACTTGGTTGCTTGGGGTTTGGGAATCATCATTGTAAGGAGAATTTTTTGTTCATCTTGTCTGTTGCTATGCATCCCATCACTAATTTGATCGCCAAGCATTCATGGGACCATACTGTTAACTCCCCTTTCATGATCCATCTCTGATGACCAAAATCATCAAATGATTGTTCCTATCATGATGCATGTGTTCTTATTCGCTGTATAATATCTCAATGATCCCTGGTGAGATTGGATATTAGCTAAAGGTAAATCATTCTCAATATAGCAAAAAAGCCTTGGCCTACCACTTACTTTTGATCTTTGACACATCTTTTTCCTTCTTCTTGGCCGAGTTTTAAAGGGTAATTAATCCACTTTTTGTAGATGACCATCCTCTGAATGTTAAAAAGACTGGATGCGTGTGTATGTGTGATGTTAACTGCAGTAAAAATGACAAGGATCGAGATATGGGGGATGTGCGATCAATGACAATGCAGTATCACCTTCTTCCCACTCAGCAGAAGAACAAAATTTAAGCAAGCTAAGTCGCTTCACTGACTCTAATGGAGCAGTTGACTGCACTAGTGGATCAAGAGAATAATTGATAAAAATGACAAGGGGTATAGGTTAATTACGCTTGTTCTATATTTTATTAATTAAAATGTCTAGTTCAGTCAGTAATAAAACCTTGTTTATTCGTAAATAAAAATCTATTGATATCGTAATAAAACCATTATTATCTTCTAGATATTGAAACGTGCATTTCACATATTATTCACCTTTTTATTTTAATAATATTTTATATTTATTAATAAATTAAATTACTCTCGATTAATTTGATAATAACAAAAAAAATTATGTTGAAAAGATAAAAAAACCTATGAATGCAAACTTTAAAAAATTTTATTTTTAAAGATAGTTGAGTCATTTTATTATGTTTAAAAAAGTAAAAAAACAAAAAAGCTTTTAGACATTAATTTCAAAGTTTTTTTTCTAGAGATAAATTAGTAATTTCACTATTTTTTTTAAAAAAATTACTCATTATTAATTTAGTAATGATCAATAAATCTTATAAAAAAATTAAAATATCGCAAGAGCAAGTCCATTGATATTTTTCTAAGAAAAATAATAATTATTAAATAATAAAATATGTGTACGTGTGCATTGAATATCCCTTCATAAATTCAAGCTCGTATGATTTGGTAAATCTTCTTAACAAATATAATCAGCGGTTCTTATACTAGAAATTAATTAACGATATAAATAATTGTAGTGGATTGTTAATAATTGTAGCACACATAAGCAAAACACTGCCCCATAAACAATCAATCCACTGTTCTTGAACGAGACAAATGATCTACCTAATTAGGTTTTATTAATACCAGTCTTGCAAGTGGTTTTTTCATCGTTTCCTTTTCACTATAGTTTTATATATTAAAGGTAAACTTTAAAATATTTAGGAGAAAAAGGCAGATCATGATTAGCTTTATTTTTTTAATTTTATTTTTATAGAAAATCAATTAATTGACAGTTCAACCTTAGGATCTCTTTAATATTTAAGGGAAGAATATGCCAAGTACTGGTAGGAGGCTTCTTGATGAAGCTTGAAAGGCCGCCGGTACAGCGGCCCTCAACGCCGACAAGAAGATTTTATTGTAAGGGATTGGCTTGATAGCCAAGAAATTATATATAGTCCTTTTTAAAAAAAAAAAAATTGAGACCAGTATAAAATAAAATATTAAATTTATTCGAGCATACCATGAAGGAGGTATTGATCAATGAGTAAACTGATTTAATTTCACGACGGTTGAATTTCTTTTTGAAAAAAAATTAAAGAAAGAAATTAGGGTTGTTTAAACAGCTAGTTTGGGGTCCAAACACAAAAGATGACTAGCTTATAGAATATATATATATATAAAAACTGATGAACTTGATAAAACAATAATATTGACAATGACCACACGCAATGGTACCAGATGCCTTCTTTAGACGTCGTACCAATGGGATCTCTATAGTTTATTTATTTAAAAATATAATTCCTGTTAATCATTCAAGAATAAAAAAGTTAGAGCCATGATTGCATTAGACCAAGAAGATTTGATGTGGAAAAGGAAAGGCAAGAGCATCATAATTGGAGGTCAATTACCATAAAAACTATCTCAACATATATAGTTCTACGTTGAATATATTAAATAATTATATCGCATTAAGAGCCTGCCGACAGCTTAACTTACAGGCGATAGAATATTGGGAAAACATTATTAATTAAGAAACCATTGCCAGCAGATAAATTATACTAATTTCAACTCAATGGGAACTGTTACATTGGTTAGCTAATCTTGCAAGACAAGGCATCGTTTTCGGGCTTCTGCAGTCCAAATAAAGAAAAGAAAAACTCTAATATTGCAAGGAGGATATCTGTACGTGTGAAGGCTTTAATTTCTGGGTAAACCTTGGAAGATAAGAATAGAATGATTGTGAGATGGGAAGGAGGTGCGATGTCTAGCTCAAACGAACAGGGATCGATGAAATGAAAGAGAGCAGAAGGAAGAGATATAACCGAAGCTATATCATCAAGAAATTCATGTATATGTATATTTTTTAGGTTTTGGGTATGTGATATTGGTTGCTAAAACATCATTTTTATGTGCTAATATTTGTTTCTCATCATACCCCACTACTGCCTACCAACCACCCTCTCCCCAGAAGATACCATACCGTCCGTCAACATATCTGGTCCAACAGCTTGCTCTTCAAAATGTGAAGACCAACAGGAAATTCCAGCCTGCCCACCTCAAGCTCTCATCAGCATTTCTTTCTCAAAAATAAGAAAGAGAAAAACCTGTTTCCGCGCGCCTTTTCGAAACCTTATTAACTCTCTCTCTATATATATCAAATCTCAAATACATGAGAAGCTCCCATTGTATATTGTGTCATACAGTCATGGATCCTCATGCCGTTTTCTTTATTAAAGTCTTTCAAGTTAACCACGAGACTGGTCATTGACGTTATTCCGAATACTGGACCTCTAAATTACTTTTTCGAGTTATTAATTTAAATCCATAAAAAAATCCATTTTTATAGACTATTTACAATGAGATAAGGAATCCATTTAGCCTAAAGTTTCAGGTTCAAATCCCTTAATTGATTTATTGAAAAGTTGACAAACTAAGCTTGCTGGAGTTCCATAAGTTTCATTTACTATAGGAGCGCAGGGGCAACAATGGTATCCGAATGGGTAAGTTTTTTCAGGTAAAAAAATGATTTTGGTTTGGATTGTGATAAAATCCTAAAGTTTTGGTTTTCACAACATCTGAACTGAAATCCAATCCAAACCATATCAGATCTAAAACATGCACGTATACATTTATTTAGTATAAATACAAACTTGAAAAAGACGAAACAAGCTCAGAACATCAACATCTGCTCTGTGTATGACAAAACTCCTATGGTTTTTTTAGTTGTTACGAGTTATCCATGGGATACGCGGTCTTGAAATGTCATAAAATTTGCTTGATTTTTACACGACTACTGACTTGGTGACGGAGGCCAGTTAACGCCTGACTTGACCTTGTAGGATTGTTCCCTGCAACAAAAAAACTAAGAGAGAACAAAAACTTTGGTTAGCGTATGCATGTGGTAATAAACTCGAAATTGGTTTTGCATGTGACAAATGACATTAAATTTCTACCAAATTCCAACCTACCATCAACAATTTGCATTTAAAATCAGATAAAAGCATGATTGGCAAGCCAAAATAGTGTCGAAGGAGGGAGATAGGGCAAATATAATATCTTGAGTGTGAAAAACGATAGTGGTATATATTCTGGAGACAAAACTGTGACATCATTCTGTTAGGTAACCACCAAGAGAATGAAAGACAACTCAAAGAAACTAAAATGTTCACAAATTTTCACTAACACAGCCATTCTGGCTTGCTATACCATGCATGGAACCAGAAATAACTCAGGCTCTCATCTATATTATCTTCAAAACCACTGAGAGGATGTTGCACATTATAAATTATCACCATTTGCGAGACCCGTCCAGGATAGAAACTACCCAGTTTCTGGTGAAGACATTCTGCATTTGCGAGACCCGTCCAGGATAGAAACTGGGTACTGACAATGCAATCGTTGCTTCTGGTGAAGAC